AATGACTGTAACAATTTTTTTCATCTGTAAAACTGCCCATGAGGATGAAGTTGACAGGCAGCCTCCTCAGCAAGCCTGGCCTGCGCCGTCAAAGACATGTGTGGCATTCGTCAGTTCAGCCAGAGTTCGAAAAGACGAGGATGGCAAGACGAAGCGACGTCGAATCGATGGAGCCAGCGACCAAAGCACTCATCTTTTCGAGGACAATGCCTCTACATGCTCCCTCACCCTCGGCCCTTCGACATCAACAAACGCAGAGATCAAGGCGAACAGGTTGGTAATCACGCACCGCACATGTTCATCTTGCCTTGATAGTCATCCCGAGCACGACACACTCGAACTTCCTTGCAAAGGCGACGACGACGTCAAACCGCACGCGTACTGTCGCGAATGTCTCGAGGGCTTCTTCGAGTCTTCGGTTACAGACCCTTCTCACTTTCCACCCCGCTGCTGCTCAAAGATGATCTCACTGTCCAGCTGCGCGCCGTTTCTTTCAGCATCGCTTATTGCCCGTTTCGTAGCTAGAAAGGAGGAGCTCGAAACGCCCAACCGCACATACTGCAGCAACGCCGAGTGTTCGGCCTGGATCCGGCCTGCTCAGATTCTAGCAGGAGTAGCAACCTGTGATCAATGTGCGCAACAAACGTGTGCACTATGCAAAAGCAAGGCCCACATAGGCCATCTCTGTCCAGAGGACCAAGACGTCAAGGAACTCATGATCATCGCCCAACACAAGCGCTGGCAGACGTGCCCCAACTGCAAGGAGATGGTCGAACTCGAGCAAGGTTGTTTCCACATTGCGTACGTTCTCAGTCCCCAGTACTCTATTTGCAAGTCACTGACAATGCCAGCTGCCGCTGCCTCTATGAATTCTGCTATCTCTGCACGGCCAAATGGAAACGGTGCGACTGCCCACTCTGGGACGAACGTAATTTGCCTGCCTCCCACCGGCCGTTCCAGCTCTTGCCGCTCCTGCTGCACCGCTCGTAATCCCACCTCGTCGTACTCATGGCAACGGCCGGCATCGACGTGCTCGACACCGCACTCGCCTGCATGAGCATCAGTTTCAGCGTGTCTATCGCAGTGAGGGGCATGATACGCAGTGTCATGGGTGTGAGCATTAGGATCGCTGGGTGAATACTTGTGCTGAGTGTGAGCTGAAGGTGTGTTGGTGTTGTGCGAAGCATCGCGTGTGATGGGCAGTATGTGTTTGTGAAGCTTGGGGGATTTGACTGGAGAGGGGATGTTTGCGGATATATGTGTGGTTGTGAGGATACTGCTTGGCTACAATGGTATCTGCCTAGCCATCTCCCTATCTTTACAAACCTTGGGTTTCTCTAGAGGAAGATGTGGTAGATGTATGCAGGGGTACATATGTGTGGGATATTGTGGTTTCGACCTTGGATCCTTTTTTCTTCTAGGAGTTTCAGTGGTGTGGTTGAGTGACAGATTATTTAGTTTAGACAGGTCAAGAGTCTTGCTCTCCTTTAACTTTGCCTTGTACTTTCCAACAACAAACAAGCATCTCACCAGCCAGGCCAAACGTCAAGGCCAAAAAAAACCCAACTCCAATTAAGCCTTTTCGTACGCGGAGATAAGCTCAGTCCAGCGCGGATAAAACATTGGCATCGGCTTTACCCCGCCATAATCAGCCGTTGTCATTGGCCGTTCCGGTCGAAACTAGTGAGGGTGGGGTCGCGTCGCAACGACGTAGAGATTCGGATATGTTTCCGCGGTGTTGGGGCTGGAGGATTTAACCTGTGCTTTTAAAGGGCTGGGAATCAGGAATTGGGAGTTGAGAATCGGGGATCGGCATCATTCTATCTGGACAAAAGGAAGAGTGAAGGCGGATGAAAGAGGAGGTGATACGGTATTGGATATGCTGCAACGGCCCGGGAGGAAAATGCCAGGAAGGCGTGCATTTATCTCGCTGTCGTCGATTCAGATCTACGGAGTCAGACACGCAGCGCAAAGGCCTATAAAGCCGTTCCCCAGGCCAAACCCAATGCATACAAGAGCTTTCCACAACTCCAGTATACCAAGGCATCCAGACTCGTCATCCCACAGCCCAGGCAAACAAACCATGCAGGACAATCACCAACAAGAACAACAAAAGCTCCCCCAGCAAAACTGGTCTCCGACTCAATACCTGAAATTCGCAGACGAACGCACCCGTCCCGTACATGACCTCGTCACACGGGTCCGCCCGTTGCTGACGACCCAGACGCCGCGAATCTTCGATTTGGGCTGCGGTCCGGGAAACAGCACGGCCGTGTTAGCCTCGGTGTGGGAAAATGCGCGGATCACGGGGGTAGATGGGAGTTTGGCCATGGTGCAGCGGGCACGGGAGAGATTCCGTGCGTCGGCGGAAAAGGCGGGGACAGTTGAAGGCGAAGAAGGAAGAAAACAGATTGATTTCCAACACGCAGATATAACTCATCTGACACTGCCCTGCACACCCAATCCCCCCGACCTCGTCCTTTCAAACGCCGCGTTCCACTGGCTTCGCACGCCCACGCGCCTGCAAACCCTGCGTCGGCTTTTCCAGGCCCTGGCCCCGGGCGGCGTGTTAGCGCTGCAGGTACCGGATAACTACGAGGCGTGGACGCACCGGGCGATGCGGGATGTAGCCGTCCTATCGAATCGGCCGTGGTCGCGGTACTTCGAGGGTGTGGGGGTGGGAAATGTGCAGGATGAGACGAGGCCGGATTTAGATCCTATCGAGGCGCCGGAACTGTGGTATCAGTGTCTTGCGCCACTGGCTGCGGGGGCTGAGTCTTTGGGTGGGGAGGGCAGGGCGCGGGTGGATTTGTGGAGGACGGAGTATATGCATGTTGTTGATGGGGTTGGGGCGATTGTCGAGTGGGTTAAAGGAACGGGGTTGCAGCCTTTTTTGCAGCAGATTGAGGGGGCGGATGTTGGGGAGGTTTCATGTGAGGAGAGGGAGGAGGCGAGGAGGGCGTTTTTGGAGGAGTATGAGAGGGCGTTGGGGGAGAGGTATTCGTGGGATGTGGGAGGGGGTAAGGTGATTTTGGGGTATAGGAGATTGTTTGTTGTTGCTGTTAGGGGGGGTTGAGGAACAAGGGAGGTGACGAGAGGACTCGGGATGAGCAGGTGTTGAATACACTTGAAAGGAAATCTCAAGAAAGACAGTGATATTAGATTGTAAAGAAATGTCTAACTCGAACATGCGCGTTAAGAAGCCATGCTCTTCCCAATCTCACTCTCCCAACCCTTCGCACGCTCAAATCCATTTGAATGCGTCTGATAATCCATCAATGCCTGCATGACCTCATCTCTCGACGTTACTACAAAAGGACCATATTGAACAATGGGTTGATCCAGTGGCATTCCAGCCACAAGTAGAAATCTTGAAGCTTGTTCTGCACCCTCCTCAACCTGCGCCTCGATGCTATCTCCCTCTTTCTCAAACACAACGTTGTGATATTGCGGAATGGGTCTTGACACGCCTCCCGAGGAAAAGATCGTTGTGCCGTTGAGAAGGTAGGCGAATGCGTTCCAGCCTTTTGGTAGCGCCTGTTTGACTTTGCCACCGGGTTGAACGGTGAAGTCGAGAAGCCAAACTGGCGTGGGTGCCAACTCTTGCAGACTCTCTGTCTCGTACGCTTTGCCGCTTATGATCTTGACATGCACCTTGCCGTCATCTGCCGTTGCCTCAGGAATCTCACTCGCGCGAACATCCCTGTATCGTGGTTCGCATGATTTCAACTCCTTGGGGAGGTCAACCCATAATTGCATTCCTGTATTCGCCGTGCCATCCTCGTTTTGCCTTGGCATTTCGGCGTGGACGATTCCTCGCCCGGCTGTCATGAACTGCAAATCGCCTTCGGATATGGTGCCCTTGTTGCCGGCGAAATCCTCGTGGTCTACGCCACCGGACAGCACGTATGTAACCGTGGTCATCCCCCGATGTCCATGGTCACTAAAGCCAGCGCCAGGCGGTATGGTGAAGTGGTCGAGCATGAGGAAGGGGGTCAAGTTGCGCAGCTTGGGGGTTCCAATGCTGCGCCGCACCCTTGCGCCTGCACCCTCTGCTTGCTCAACTGCGAGGAAAGACTGTGCGATCTTTCGAGGAGTATTTGTAGTGAGAGGTTCATCTGGGATAACAGGCAGACCGCGAAACTTGGTGTTGGTTGACATGTTGTTGGTTAAATTGAAGAAGTGGTTGGTGAAACGTGTGATGGGTGTGATTTGTCTCGTCACTTTTGTGAGCATCAACTCGTTGTTGTAAACGGCCAAGACAAGTGCGACCACAGTGATAAAGACGGAGGAGAGCGTCTTCATGGATCAGGAACGGGCGCTTTATACCGCACGCTGGGAGGGGCACGAGAAGTTTCGACCAGAGGACATGAGGGATTTGGCATTGTTATCGATCGTGAACCTGGTTAATAAATGTCTAGCAAGCGATGGCGCGAAAGGCAATGGGGGCCTTGGCGATGGAGTGGTGCTTTGTCAATCATCACCAAGCACCAGCATGTCACATGTGGGGCGGAAGATGGAGATGCCGCGAGCCAATGAGAGGCGGGTAAATGACGTAAGGCTGTGCGGCTGGTACTTCAAACTTCACCTCACCTCGACTCCTACTTGTCGTTTACGAGATATGTCAGTCACCCACATGCTATAAGTTGGCTACTACCGAGCTCATTCAGACTCTGCTGGTTGACTAACAAGCCATCATTTCGCCCTGCACTGTATCGCGACTCTCATTGCACGCTTTGATGGAAGTCATGTCAAAGCTACAGCGCGTAACAGGAGATTGTGGTGGAGTTATCACAGACAACTCCGGTCCAAGCAAGCAACCTACCGGTATGGTACAGAAGTTTAGAGTCGCCTTGGGGCGAACTGATATCGAGAATACCTTGCTAGTGCCTGCGACATGGCCTGCCGAACCACAAACTACCCTCGAGTCTCTTCTTGACCAATGTGATCGCTGGATAAAGTTCTGTGAGCATTGGGACCCCGATGATTTTGTCATGCACCAGTGGTCTAAGTTGAGGTTCATTGTACTGCAGCTCCACCAACTGGGAGTCATACCGGATAGCAACAAATTTCATTTCTGTCATACGGACCTTGTAGCACACAATAATCTGATTGAGATAGTTGATCACTCGAATGTGCGTATTACCGGGGTACTTGACTGGGACGCTTCTTTTGTATACTTTGTCCAAAGTTTGTCGCTTACTCAGCGCCATACGATCTGCGGGTACATGGAGATGGATACGAATGGAACGAGACCAAGTGCATGACGGACGCTGATGACCTATCTCCTACTCTAATGATCTTGAACTACGAAAGTAATTCCTCGAATTAGCCAGCAATGAATGGAAGAAGTACGCCACACAGCCTGAATACTTAATTGCGCGACGAATATTCGAGATTTTCAAAAGAGGCGCATCCAGTGCATGTGACTACCAGGACATGGACGATGTTATTGCTGATTGGCAAGAGATTCACTTCGATGAGGCGCTAAACAAGTTTTCTCTGTCGGACCCCGACACTGACAACGACAGTGAGTACAGTGGTCAGTCTGAAGACAGTAGCGACAGCGATGACGATGTTGAAGATGAATGAAGATGAATGAAGATGTGAAAAATTGCTGGTCACGAGATTACTAGATCCAGCGAGTTTCCACAAGTTTCGTGGTAGATCTCTGAGACAAGCTCAAATAATACAATTCCTTCACAGAAGCATTTTTTACTATAGGAGGTCTATCGCTTGAGTTTGTGCAGTGGAATAAGAGGTATTTTTGAATCACAATAAATACCATGTATTTATCACACTGTGATATAACCTGCATCAGAACCCCTTCAACGAAACGTTCTGATTCCTCCAAAAAAGTCATAAAACTTAACTGAATTCTTCACGAAGGATATTTCTAGGAGTATAAGATATACTTTTACTATTAGATTATCTAATCTAAAGCTCTATCTCTTCTTATACTCCTAGATAACCTTATGTAAGCCTAGGCTGCCTAGCAAGCCTTTAGTAAGGCTAAAAAGCTATTGCTAGCTCTAAGAGTAATATGGCATTTAGATTAATGCGTGATCGCTACCCTACTTGGTACTTCTCCAGAAAACGCCTTCCGCATATGGCTAGCTTATTACCACCTAACGTAATTTTTATGATATCATCAGCTACGCCAAGCTTGTGGCTCGAAACAGACTGTGGCTGATGGTGCCTGCCAAAACGTAAATCACGTGAGATATCAGCATCAGTCCCATCGCTTATAAACACGAAAGCCTTTGCCATACTGAGGTATTCTTATAGGTCAAGAAAGGCACACAGGATCGAAGCAGAATTACGGCCAGGTACAGTCGCGAGCACAATCGATTTTCAGCATGACACGGCTTTACTGCATCTGTCTTACTGGTTGGCTTAGTTATGTCATCATTGGCACAGTCGCGTCCACCATCCAAGTACAACCGCCCTCAGCCCAAGCTCGACGCCATGTTACGCGCCGTGACTTTATAAATGTTTTCAGCGACTCACTTCTAACACGCCCTATCTCGCCTAACAGGTGCAACAGTGACCGCTATAACTCTATACACCAAAAGACGGGGAGCATCACTACAAGGATCAATTCCACAGCAACATCAGGTGGTTCATCTAGTGACAAGGTAAGCCACCCTCTAAAGTTGAAGTATCATTTACCTCCTGCGGTTAATAACTCTTTCCCGTTATTAGGCTACAGCACTCGACCGCCGCCGCCAATGCAGACCGTGTCCAACAACCAGCCAGCCTATAACGCCTTCCACACCGTTGTTCAACCCATCACTATCCTTTAAACATCGCGCTACCGGATATACAGTACCCATAACCAGCTGCAAATCTTGTGTTAGAGTAGGCAATACTGCACAGTCTCAGAGCCGCATCGTCAAGATGGGCTCCGTGAACAATCCAAAGCGAGTTGTTCTTCGTTTTAGCGTTCAATACGAGCGTGAGGAAGCGACTATAAATGAACAATTTTTTGCACTGCACGGCCCTGAACCTCCAAATAAAGATTTTTTTTCTCACTTAATGGCCCCTAACGAATCCTCCAAGATGCACATCGTTCTGGATATCTACTGTAACTCACACCCGGCTATCGATAACAGCATAATATCATACGAGGTCTTCAAAGTAAGGAAGAACGGCAATTTGTATGTCCCTATCTCTCCTAGAAGTTCGAGCTAAGTATTGAGTTAGTAAATTTGAAAAACTAGGCGCTGCTGCATGCCAACTTGCCCGCAAGCGCTGCGAGTTGTATGGGATCAAATGGGGCACTAACTAATCCTCAATCTGAGGAATTGGATGGTGTCCGTGCATTGCATACAGGACAATCTCCAGCTACGTTCGTATCTTGAACATAAAGGGACAAAGGCAAGTCCCGTTGCTGTCCACTCACAGGCAGACAGAGTTGTTGGTTCGGACGTGCTAGCGCTTGTGCACACCGCAGATAGTCACCCCTTACCTGGTGTTGAGGGTTGCGGCGACAACGGGCATACGTTTTGACCTGAATGTCGCACATATTGATTCGAGTAGATAAGAATCGAAAGATTTGCTGAGCAACACTCAAGTCGCAAAGGACGGCGATCTGGGCACTGCGGGGTGCTGACGTGTCCTACGCAAACATAATGCGTGACTAATACGTGCGAGACCAGTTACCACAGCCTGTAGCTTAGAGCATGAAGACAGATGCGGTAAGGCTGCAGGAACGGTTCTGTGCGATGGGACTGAAGCTAGCGTGGGGATTGTGCTCGCAACTTGTAGCAGAGAACAATATTCGGAGCTCAGCGCCATCCATGGCTGTCCCATGAATACTGTGGGACTGTGACGAAGGGTCATCCCGAATGATCATAGCTCAAGACAGCATGAGGGCTCACCAAGTACCAAAGCAGGACTACTTCACATTGTAGGTCTATGTTCATGTCTACAATATGCTGACTGTCATCGATATGTCCATCTATTATCACCACATCTGTAACCACAGGTGCTCTCCACATTTCTAGCATCGGATCAATAAGCGCTTCGCTTGCTCGTGCTGCTTTGCTAATAGTCCATCTGGAACACCTTCTTCGGCCGCGACAGATTTACGCTTCCAACCACGTTTCTTCCCTAATTCGCCTTCATCCGCCTGCGCCGTTGCCTTTTTAGAAGCATCTTGCTTAGCACGTTCTGCACGGTTAGCCCAAATTGCTTAAGATCTTCTTGTGTTATTACCTGTCCTTCACTATTCTTCCTAGGCTTCTCTAGGATATCTAATTTTATATTTTGGTGAGTCTTAGTGTTATTGTTGACAGCCTTAAGAAGCCTAATATAATTCTAGTTAAGGGCTTGCTAGGCAATGGACCTCTTAGCAGCGTTAGCAAGCCTCTGAATTAGTCTATGACGACGCATTTCGTTTAGCATATTACTATAAGAATCTTGCTTAATAAGGCTCAGCAGTTGTGTTACAGCTTCCGATGACACGGGTGCCTAATAGGGCGTAAGTACTTGTAAAAAGACTCCTTAACTAAGCTAGTATAGCCTAGACCGCGGCTCTAGGTACGTTCTCTACCACTCGCCCTCTATCGCCACGCTCAATACCACCCCGGGACGCTGTGGCAAAACACGTGACTGATAAACTACCCGAGCGCATGAGGGTGTGTATTGTCTTTCTTTGTTAATTTAGGGATTCACCGTGAGCTTGTTGTCTGTCCTTTCTTCATGGCAAGATCTTGATAGCATGTTGTATGTGTTTAATATATCTGAATGTAAGCTACTCGTTTTTATTTCTGATACAGATGGATTAGAGGGGTGGAAGTTTTGTACATCACTAGGTAAGATTGAAGATTGAGGCACAGGTTAAGTTCACAGGCCATACACTTACATATTTAATCGAAAGTTGCTCGCGATTCTATCATACGGCATCTCATCTCGTCTCGCAAAAGTCGAGTGAAATCGACTTAGCAACAGTTCTCAAGCTCATCCTTGTCTTCAGGATGTATCAAAGCCCAATCTCGGATCAGACGAGCAGCTTCGACTTGCTGTTCAGGAATTTGCGTACCCGTCACCAGAGACTTCCACAACAGATTGGCGAGGACGCACTCATCCGACATAGCGAAGCGAAGTAGTTCGGGCGATGCGACATCTTTGAAGGCATCCTGCAGCATCATGCTGTAGCGATCATCTGTGTTGTCTTCAGACCATGTGCAAGAATCCAATCCGGGCCAAGCCCAGTAAGGTGCAGTCAATACGACGAATTTTGGCGCGAAGACACACATGTCCCAGTCTAGGATTCCAGTGATTTCCGCGGTCGTAGAGTTCTTTACTGCGACCATGATGTTGCGTGCGAAAAAGTCTCCGTGTGAAAGGTGGAAGCAGTCACCGAGAAATCCTAAGCGGTCGAGAGAGCGAGCAATGACTTGGAACTGGGACCATATTTTGAGTCTATTTCGTAGTCCTTTTGCCCTTTCATAGTTGTACCAGCGACGGCAGTGATCTTGTAGGTACTCCAGTGGCGTTTGAATCGGTGACGGAATATTGTTAGCATCAGCAGCTTCCTGGTCACTAGCTGCAGCTACCTCATTAGGCACTGGAAATTGTGTAATCTTGATGGCTTCATCGCTTGAGCAGGTAAGATTCTCTAGTGATATTTCACCTGCAGCTGGCGAGGTAATGTTAGCCATTTGTTCGATGATTTTGCAGAGCTGTGGAATCAATGAGGTTTTCTGATCGGAATTCAGGATCTCCCAAGTATGTGCAAGGTCATTGCCGTGAAGACGCTCTTGCAATACATATGGCAAGCCCAGAACATTATCCGCGCTATGATCGTATGCAAGAACCTTTGGGACCGGGAAGGTTGCTCGTGCGCCAACTACCTTCAAACGGGCAAGATTTCGAGCTTCGTCACTGAGATTAAGTGAACATTTTGGCACTCGTAATGCGTACTCTACCGGTAGCGGCCTTGAGGGTGCGCGGAATAGTCTACTCATTGCTCCAGCAAGCGAGTCTCCAGAACTGGCATGAGGTACAGGCTGCTCAATGGTGATACTGAACACTTTGTTGTACGAACCAAAACCAATTAATTTGACCAGCGGAGACGATGGCATCGCAAGATTCGGGAAAAGCTCGGCGACCAAAAATACGATCTTTGCGGTGAACTCCTGAGCTCGTCTAGTTATGAATTTTTCGACTCGTGCTTTGGCTTCTTCAGCTTTGAGACGTTTGTTGAGAACCTCTAGGCGAACTTGTCTCGCTTGTCGCTGTTGCTGTAGTACCATTTTCGTGGGACATGCAGGAGGACTCAGGGGTACTCCTTCACCGGTTGGACGAAGAGAGTTTGTGCTAGATTTGACAGTCCAAAGAGCGCTCATCGTGTGAAAAGTGTTGAAATTTATCTTTTCGATGAAGCTGGCTCAAGTAGTTCTTTGCAAGGTGGAAACTAAAGAGCTTTTGAGATTTAAAGTCGGGAGTAACACGCGCTTTGCTTTTCATAATGCCTTTCACGCCAACAATGCGTATAGTGTAGTATACTTTGTACTTGCACATTGTGATAACAATGTTGACTAAAGTCTGTCATAGCTTCATTACGTGACGTGTAAACCATTCCAATTCATAACAGTGCGAAAACTGCGAGATTTGCCCATATGACTCCCAAAAGACCAAGTTAGCAGTACCTATGGTCGGGGCCCTTAAAATGTATGGCCATGAAACTATACATCGTTCTCCTTTAATTTTTTCTATATCATAATGAGATCATACTAAAATGTTCAAAATCAACCATCGAACTTTGAGATGGTTCCCAGTAAGCGCGGACACCATTATGCCAACATAAGAATTCACGCTCTTCCGGCTTTTAATCAACAAGTCCTTAGCCTTCTATGCTTTCTTATATTAAAAAAAATGAAGTGCTAATCCCTTTTCTCTCTTGTTCTTAGGACCTTTGTTGATATCCGTACCCGTCTACACCAGTTGGCGAATCACAGCACTAGCTCAGCCATGGCCAGCCAATCAGGTCATCAGACCTTGTCAACCAATTGGATACGTCATCGAACACCACATCTATCAAGCTTGCGAACAACGACAAACGCACCTCATCGTTCTGGACCTCGCAGTCGGGCTTCAGAGTGTGCACGTCACATCCACGAAAGACGTGTTCCGCAAGTGCATATTGACCAAGTCGTGCGTCGTTCAGCGTCTCTGCCATCCCTACCTATTCGCACCCGGCCAGTACGGTGCGCGGAAGCCATTGTCGCTAACCCATCACTGCCCCATACCTCAACAGCTGAACCACGGGTTGGCAGTGAAGACCCCAAAAAGAATTTGGATGTATTCTGGACTGTGTATAAAACACTTGTCGCCAAGACACAGGTGCAATTCAACGAAAAATCCGGCCCAGACCTAGGCAACCTTAGAAATTACCATTACGCAGTAGCGAGCTCGACGACACGAGTGGTTCCACCTCAACGTACCCGTTTTAATTATATGTAACATAATCTACGACTAGCTGTATACAGCGAAGAAGGGCCCACACCCACGCCAATACGAGAGTGTCGTTCGTCGTGGGAAAACGCTTGGTACAGCTTGTAAACCGGAACCCGTCAGGCCCAGAAAGTGCACTACAGCCACGCTGGGTGTTTGTTTCAGGCGTTCAACCCGGATTCTCGATGAGTCGAGGAGCACTCCACACGTATTTCAAGGCCGCTGCGCCCAAGAAACCAAAATATGAAGCTAGTCTAGAGAAATCCTGCCACTTCTCGTATCCCTTCGCGATCCCACACTTACCAGTATCGTTTGTAGACGCACTAGGATTCGCGCCAGAGCAAGAAGGAAGAAACATAAACGACCAGTCGGATCTCGATTTAGTGTACTATCAGCCCTATATTCCCGCATCAATCGCATCAGGCGTCTTCGAGTTCCTCCGTGACCAGCTTCCTTTCTACCGCGTGCAATACAACGTCAATCGTGGCGGTCACCAAATACAAATCGACACTCCACGCTACACCACCGTCTTCGGTATTGACGAAACCAGTCGCTTTACTCCCGAAGGCGATCTCGTCGATGCCAAAACCGGAAAACAAGTCGAGGCCTACCGCTACAGATACAAACCCAGACCTATTCCACAATGCCTTGACTTGCTTCGCACAATCACCGAAGGCACCACGGGCGAAACATTCAACTTCTGTCTCGTAAATTACTACGCCGATGGCCAAGACAGCATATCCTATCACAGCGACGATGAGCGTTTCCTCGGTATGGAGCCAGCCATTGCTTCATTTTCGCTCGGCGCAAAGCGTGACTTCTTTATGAAGCACAAGCCCATCTCAGCCATAGCAGGAGAGCATGTGGCCCAGCCAAAGGCCATCAAACTGTTGCTGGGCCCTGGAGACATGATCCTGATGCGTGGACGAACGCAAGCGAACTGGCTGCACAGTATTCCGAAGCGTGCAGGTACTGACGCAAACAAGGGGAGGATCAATATTACATTCAGAAAGGCGATGGTGAAGGCGGGAACAGATAATTATTATAATTATAACGTTGGATCTGGGAAAGTGTACAAGTGGAATGTGGTGGAGCAGAAGATGGCACAGTGGGAGCAGCCTGTGGAGGGTAGCGACAGTGGTACAGGTCAAGCTGTCGCCTCCGGTTCTGGGCAGGCGAACGGGCAGTGAGAGCACATGACATTGGGTATGTACTGATGGTGGTGTGTTTGGCAGATACTAGATTGTGCCACTTGTTGATTTTTTCGAGACTAGATCGGACCATATCTCCCATAGTCCCAGGGTTGACTATTCTTTTTTTCATCATAGGATCATTTGTACCACAATGGCATGTCTGTAATTTCTTTGCGACTGCCACGGGCGACGAGTCTGATGATTGTTGATTTTTCGGATTCACATACGTGTGCATGAGCTGGAATGTCGTTGTGTCCCAATTTTGCAACAATGGTGTTGAATCATGTCCCGAATACTGAGACAGCACGATCGAGAAACTCCGTGGGTAATAGGTAGATACCGGTATGATTTCTCGGGAAGATGCCCCGAGCGCAAAACCCCACCTGGGCAGAGATCGGGGCCGGGGTACCTGGGCTCAACCACGAAGATCCTTGACAAGACTACAAAGGAGGAGTCTGGAGAAGGGTATTATGGGGAAGGGCTTGGATGCAATTGCAAGAAAGCCCATCTCGATCGCACTTTGCATAGTCGGCGGACTTCGGCCAAGACGGAAATGGAACTGGACAAGGCAGCCTTCCAATCCTGCTAACGTTGTGGGAAGTCTTGGCGGTTGACGTTGATGATATCGGACATAAGGGCGCATGCCAACGTCGTCATTCTGCAACGAGCGCACTCTGCGAGCAGCGAAGATAGCCAGTGTCGCATACAAGGCTTCTGATACATTGTCGCGACTTCCAGGCTAGCCACGGGCGGTTCTTTGCTGTACCCTTTGACGGCTGATAGGACTATCTCAAGGGAACCGTTCATCAGCGAACGGATTGGCGTCGTGCGCGTCGCATGCGAAGCGTGACGGTAGGAACCATTGTATTGATCCTGTATGAAATGCGCACGACTGACGTTAGACTCCAGACTCGATACTCAAAACCTGAAAACGCTTGCGACTTAGCTTCAGGCATCACCGCAGAACTCGAAGCCACGCACAAGACGACTGCTGCCTTCGTTGTCGCAACCCCGTCATCACGATCTGATCAAGACTACAGCCCATTACAGCGTTCGTCAGAAATATATCGAGGTCGGAGACTCAAACGAGCGAGAACTACACGCACTGGTTGAACCAAAAACCCAGGATTGTAGCTGTAGGCAGCAGGCTGGGAGACCATAACAAGACCCTATTGAGGATTTACGGAGTCACTACCCCAAGTCCAGTTGCAGCAGCTCTAGTCAAGTCTGGACATAAGCAGCCCCGAGTCATTTAAGACCGCGACGGGCCTCGACCAAGCATTGCACTGTGTCCGGCCTCCTGCCAACTCACTCTTGCAGCTGCAACGCCCGAACGAGCAGGTCAGTCAATCTGCGCACGACAAATCTAGACTGGAAAAGCACCATAGTGGTGGTCCATCTCTGAGAGCCAACGACGTGCAAGGCATCTTTCACTCTAGGCGGAGTTAACTCTTAAATCCGGATTGCCCCTTGACAGAACGCGCCTCCAGGCCCACCGCAGTCATGCCGCCAACGCCCCCTTCGACGACTTCCTCTAGTGCGGGACACTCACCACCCGATCCTCAATTCCGAGTTGTGCGCAAAAGAAATCGCGTTCCATTGTCATGTGGAGCTTGCAGACACAGAAAGTGAGTGAAAGTCTACATGGAGAAAGGCACGAAAGTACATATTTTGACGTCAATAGACTGAAATGTAACCGTGGCCACCCTTGTGACAATTGCACCAAGCGCGGCGACACGGCATCATGTACGTACGCTACTCCTGGAAACCGCAAAAAGAGCGCAGCCAATGCAGGCGCAACGACTTCCCCGGATGATATGCAAAACCGCATTGACCGACTTGAAGGACTCGTGCTTTCATTAATGACCAATGGCGCTCAAAGCGCTGGGCCAGTCGCTGCTCAAGCTGCAATTGCGAATAGTATGAGTATTGGCTCAGCAGAGCAGTACGATATAGGCAATATAGATCATGGCATGAGCAATGCTGCACCTGAATCGATACCTGAAGAGGATACGTACGACGAGAGCGAGATGGAGAACGTTACGAAATCTATCGGTGTCATGAAGGTGAACAACAATCACACAGTCTTTGCATCAGAAGCACATTGGTATGCGATATTGGGAGAAGTACGTTTACCTACCAATTCCATTTAAACATTCACTAACGACTCCTAGTTGTCCGAAGTCAAGAACTATTTTGCCGAACACAAGAAGCAATATGAAGAACAACTGAAGCGATACAAAGCGACGCATAGCACAGAACGCCCGCCTGGTACATCATTCCTCATGGGAGCGCGGAATTCAAGCTCCAAGGCTGAACTGCTCTCTCGTTTCCCACCCAAGCCAACTGCCGACATACTCGTTTCAAGATTTTTCAACACATACGACCCAGCAATTCATATCATCCATGGCCCTTCTTTCCAGAAAGAGTATGACAGACATTGGTTGCAACCAGATGAGACTCCCATCATATGGCTGGGCTCTGTATACGCAATGATGTGCATAGCCTTGCAATCATATACAAGAGCTGGTGATGAGCCGCCAGAATACCATAACAAATCTTGGGAGATGTCGAAAGAGTACGGTGAACTGACAGCTCAATGTCTAGTAATGGCAGACATCACACAACCGATTACAGGCATGCTCGAAACTCTCATCCTACACATACATGCTGAATACGCTCGTAGCCGAGACGCGGAAGTTGGAATCCTCATCAGCACTGGTATAATTGTGCGACTTGCGATGCGAATGGGATTACACCGAGACCCTGGTCCTTATCCCGGTATTCCTGTATTCCAGGGCGAGATGCGGCGGCGCGTATGGGCTGCAGTCCGTTCCATAGATCTCTTATTCTCTGCGCAAGCTGGCTTGCCTCCAATTGTGCGTCCACGGGACACGAATACCGAGATACCCCGCAACCTTTACGACGATGAACTTCATGAGAACATGAAGGAATTACCACCCTCCCGGCCTGAGAGTGAAGCTACACCCACCCTTTACCTCATCAATCGGACACGATTAATCTATAAACTAGGGGAGGCGGTGGAACTGACTGAGGCATTGACTTGTTCATCGTACGACGAAGTTGTGAAGATGGATGCCGAAGCACGTGAACTCCATGATAACATCTCGCCACACCTCAAAATGCGAGGAATGGACGAGTCAGCGCGGGACTCATCGACACTGATCATGCAACGCTTCACTCTCGACCTCCTTTACCTGAAAATCATTTGCGTCCTTCACCGAAGGTATCTCTCCTATGCCAGAGTCCATCAACGCTTCAGTTACTCCCGGAAAGCGGTGATGGATGCTTCGATGCAGATACTTCAACACCAAGCTACTCTTCACCGCGAGTGCCAAAGTGGTGGCCGGTTACGGAACGTAAAGTGGTTCATCTCATCACTCACGACCTTTGAGTTTCTCCTCGCCGCAATGATCATCGCTTCCGACATGTACCACATGTGCAGACATGAACATCGTACAGGCCGACCTACTCCAGATGCATGGGGCATTGACAAACGCGATGAAATGCTGGAGGCCATAGAAGTGGCTGTTGCCATTTGGGACGGCCTCAAGGACCATTCAATGGAGGCATACAAAGCACATGCAACGCTGAGCGTGATGTTGGATCAGTTGAAGAAGAGTCGATCAGCAAGACAAGCACCCAACGGCTTCCACGCGGCATCATCAGGGTTCCCAGTCTTGGCACGTATGGACGACTCTAATGTCGCTCCGGAGCATTCTGCAGCCATGACTCTGGGCATGCTCAGCACAGGCGGTATGACACCGAACTCGGCAAACATGTTCGACCAGCGATACCCAGCGTCCATGGCGAACCTATTGAACGACCCAGTGCCTCAGCCATCAACGGGCCTAACACCACAATATGGCGGTCCAAGTGGGCCTACGGTCCCCGAAAATGTGCCCAGCCCTTTCTCAAATCTGTTCGGTGCGAACCTCTTCCAGAACTTAGACCTGCCCCCTACTGATAATATCAACTGGGTATGTAACATTGTCATCAAAGCTCGTCCATGACATCTGTTAACGTTCAGCAGGATGCATGGGATTCATATATACAGGGACCTGGTATAGACACATCAAATAACTTCTTCCCTATGGATATGAGCAGTCTACTCGATCAATCGGTTGCACAGCCGGCGCAACAGCAGCAGCAGCAGCCTCAAGGAACACGTCCGAATGGTTTTGGCCAAACTGCGTACATGAATGTTAGTTGCTCCGACTTCAATCAACTTCACAGTGACTAAAAACGACGATAGGACACTATGAATCCTGATTCGAAGCCAGGAAATGGGGAAGGTTTTGCTATGGGCTTTGTATTGCCAAAATAGCAGGAATTTGGTCTGTATCCATGGAATCCTGTTGTATCTCTAAGGATTGGATTGTATATGAGCAGCATTCAACGATGATCATGGGGCCGAAAAGCATGGTGTTCAATGGGATGAGCCACTGATTTCTGCATTCGGGGAGTATAAGCGGATGACTGAGGCGCAGCGCATGCACGCACGCACGCACGACGTACTGGAATGTCAAATTCAACTCTTTGTGTCCATGCCGGCAACATTTCGTCTGTATACTACGTTCCTGGGTCAACGTGTTCGCATATCCAGGGCTTCCTTGCAAAATGTAGTGCAACATGCTACCGACTAGTAGACAGGTAAGTAGACTGTAGGTAGGGTAGGCTATATTTAGCGCAGCACAATAAGGCTGACACACAAGCTTTCCCGCTTTGACTGGCCGAGCACCCCACTTAGGACCCGCGTTTGGACCCCTGGATGTTTCACAGGCCAACGTCATCGCTTCACGAATTGCTTATGTGCCGTGCGTTGTGTGGCTGCGGGGATAGGTTGGACGTCGGCTGAGAGTGGGCGCAACCTGATGCGTTGTATACAAGACGCCTGTTTCACTGTTGCATTGCACTTTACCGATCTATCCCTTCCCTCTCTCACCACCACTTTGCTTATCATTTCAGGAGTTTGTTGCAAGATTACAGACCAAGACTGAGTTCTGGCACGGCCTCACTGAATCATTGTCATCTACATCATAGTTGAATTCTACTATTACAGATACAAGCAATCCTAACACTCTATACTCCACCGCGAAAGCCATTCGACCCTCAAGATGACCTCCATTCCCCCACTCAACACCACTGCCATCCCTCCTTCTTCGTCTCCATCCTCCTCCACGGCCGCTCCCTCCACAGACTCCTTGTCTCCGCTCTCCCGCAGCAATACGTTTCCCCATAAAACCAGCCCATCGGTATCGACGCAGACGCCGCTGATCGATACTTCGACACCTGCGATCAATGAGGAACCTGTAGAGTTGGATGGCGGCGCAGTGGAAGTACCCCCGACCATGAAGGAGGGGCTGCGGGCGGGATGTATGCGGTCGCCGGGGGATGAAGAGGATATCGATGGGGAATTTCTGGGGGAGGGGAGGAAGGATGAAGCAACTGCTGTGAGTTGATACATTCACATATGCTTGCTCTCCATTTTCATAGAGTTTCGTTGTAGGCATGATGAACTCGGCTGACAGAGCGATTAGAAACGCGCGGCCATGTTGGCTTCACGGAGCAAAGATCCTAGCGTGATTGTGGATGTTCCGAGGGAGCCGACTGCGGAGGAGGTACATGCTGCGAGGAGTGCAGAGGGTTTGGTCACGCCGGGGTTGGGGCAGAGGGAGTTTGGGGGGGCATCAAGGCGAAGCTGAGTACAGAGTACGATGATGGTTTCGAGGGCACAATTCAACAGAAACATTCTCTCATGTTGGTGTATCAGCTTCAAGACTGATACAGTATCAAGTCAAATACGTACGAAAGACTAGACCCAATGTTGACGGACCCCCGTTGCGGTCTAGTCAGTCTCCATGAACGTGCCTTCCGCAGCAAGATAGCCAGACAGTCGCACCTTCCTGCCTCGATTTCTCTCACCCGCTAGTAGTGCAAACGCACTGAAAGTAGAATAGCGGGGCCAACAACATAAACACCACCACGTCATTGCCATGCTCAAACGGCTGCCGCACATAAAAACCGGTCCTCTCACCTCCTCCTCTCACCTTGCCAACTCAACCACCCCTTCGCCGCGACTACTCCATCGTCCCGACGCTGAGATCGCCAACATGGCATCCAGCGGGAGCAAAGTACCTGGTCGCTTCGACACTGAGGCTTTGAGAAACTGCCCCATGTAAGCCTACTGAGCACTATTACTGTCGATATCGTACTAACCTTACACACAGCGCAGCTGGAAACCGTAAGAACGCGCTAATCTTGCGACTGCCTCCGGAACTACGCAACAAGATCTACGGGCTTGTCATGGACAAGGGAGATGTGAACCTGAAGGAGGCACCCATACGGTATCTACCATTCTCCAGGGTCATGCGTCCCATCAATTCCCCACTCGCAGACCAGATACAAGAGCCAAACGCCATCCCCTTGCAGTTGGTCTGCCGCCAGATATACACCGAGACCCGCTTCTTGCCATATTTCCTGAACACTTTCAAGATACTCTCAGAGGAAGTCTTTGATGATTGGGTATCGAGGCGCTTGAAGACACAGCTAGCTGCTATCACGTCCATTCAGCTTCCACTGGCCATGCAGGTGGATTACTGGCAAACAGACGGCCATGTCTTGAAGCACACCTTTCCGAATCTGCAAAGGCTTCGTCTCGTACTTGGATTTCTCATCCATGGAATCACCTTGGATGACGAGGAGATCAAGAACCGATTCCCAGACTACGATGCAACCACGGCGAAGAAGGAGATGGTCAAGGATAGGATCAAGAGGAAAGAGGGTCGCAACCTCCGCGTCGTCGATAGTAGCTTCGATATCGAGGTCTCCGATGTCAGTTTAAACGAGTCCCAGCCCATGTCCTTATTTTGCTGACTGTTCAGATGATTACGAGTTGCCCTTTCGAAGAAGCAATGATCTTTCCCGGCGAGGTGTTCGATCACCGCGACTGGTTCTTAGGCACCTGAAACGCCGTGAGCTTGTCCTTCTCGACTCCAAGACCCGGATCAATCTCGAAGAAGAGCTATGGGTCCATTATCATGGGTCCACTATTATGGGTGAATTGGTTTCTGTGGGTAGTGTTGAGGGAAGTGGAGGAATACGATGCACAAGTCAACGGCAATGCCGGCCATTTTGCTCAATCACTCATACCACCCCAGCCTTCGACAATCTTCCTTTCATAGTGCAATATTGCGTTGCTGCTTTGGACGATGAAGTAGATTGTCTATGAATAAATGAATGTACCTGTCGATCTGCATACTCATATTTTTGTTCTACCATCCACCCTTGCCGAGAATCCTGCCAAGCACTCTGACAATGTCATCCGCGCGCTCCATCGCGACCTCATGACCAACGTTTTTGACCAGTCTGAATTTGGCATGTTCGTCACCGAGTACGGTCTTTGCGTCCTCCATGAGTTCATCAGCATCCACAATGGGATCCATTTCGCCCAAAACAAACCACACTTCTTTGAAATGGCTGTGCCTGCTCTCCATGTTCTCTTTGAGCACACTCCAACGCTCCTGCTGGTCGTGAATCGGTGCGTAGCGAATAGAAGAAATGAACGCAGGGACAAAGCCCTTGTGGTGCTGAACCTGCCAATTGAGGACCTCTGCAGCAGTTCCGTGGCTCTCAGAGAGACTCACACCGTTGAAGCGAGCGCCTTTTTGCGCAACAGACGTTCCTGGCTCAATGGTACTGGCTTCGGGTCCGCTTCGCAGGCTGCTGGATACGAGCCACTCGACTAAGAATTCTGGGAGGATGCTGCTGGTCGAATACATGAAGCTGGTCTTCCAGCTGATACGCTTGGGGCGGATCAATCCTCCTGGAGCGACGAGAACTAGGCCACGGACGAGGTTGGGCAGGTAGGATGCGAAGTCGGCGGCAATGGCGCCACCGAGCGAGTAGCCGATGATGGCAAAGGAAGACCAGGAGACGGGTGAGGATGCCAGAGCCCAGAGTATTTGATTCGTGTAGAGGGTCGAGTCGTAGTGGTGCAGCTTGGGTGATGGAGCCGAGGAGTAGCCGCGGCCGAAGAGATCTATCAAGGTAAGTATTGAGAAGATGTTTGGAAACTTTGAGCACGCATATCCAGAAGGACTTTTAGCTGCTATGGGTCCATTGTGGACTTGGTGCAAGGAAGGGGAATGCACGAGCCAGAGCATCTGAACTGCGATAGGACCAGGACGGAAGTGACACGAAGAAACACATGTTCAAACAAATTCAAAGCAAAGAATCAAACACACGTAGAGGGGACACGAGGACCTACCAAATATCATAACGCGGCATCCTTTCTTGACTAGCTTGTGTGCCAAATCGCTCAATGCAACACTTGGGGTTGAGATGCCATGGAGGACAAGCACGCGCTTCCCATCCTTAGGACCCCATTCATACACTCTAATGCTACCATACGGCGTCTGCACATCCCTTGCGCCTTCCAGTGCATCAGGAGGATACGGAGACGCCCTCAGCACCTCTGGAGGCAGTGTCTCACGAGGCGACGGAATAGGCTTGAGTTTGCCCAAAGAGCGAGCAGAGCCAACCACCGATCGAATCAGCAGTAAACCGCTGAGCGACGCTGCGCCAACAAGAAGATACAAATGCGGTGCCTGAAGATTGCGAAACAGCTCTTTTCCAAAATTCGGCAGCTTGATGCCTAGACTGGGAAGCTTTATGCGTTGCTTGGCCGCTCCAATCGCGGTCCCCACAGATGCTACCGCTGACCCGACGAGAGGGACTGAGCTCGAGGGTGGAGGGGGCGCCTCTTTCCCGAACAAGGAGTCGAACAATGGCATTGTCGTTGCAGCGAGGGCTGGTGGGCGGTCAGCGCTTTTGCAGATCACGAAAGGGAAGTTTCGGTGTTTCTCACGTCCGCCCTAAAACTCCGAATCGTGACGTGGGGTAGACATTCGGAGAAGGATGCGTGATTGGTTGGGGGATGGAACGTCATTGCACCCCTGTCCCAATTTTTGGGTATGTATCTGACGTCTGGCAGGTTTCTAACATCTAGCCTGGAGTATTCCAAGGTTGTTACTAGCAGCTAGCACCGTTGAAAGGGAAGTTGTATTGTTGACACGCTCAGAAATATCAACATGTAGTGGCCTTGGCAGAAGGCGCTCATGTTCGTACTTCACGACCTGAGCTGTGATTAAGGTCACAGACTGCGATTGCTATGACACTACATGCGACTCGAAGCTTGCTTTCGCGAAACGCTCTCTATCGGTGGGAGCCTGATACTCGCCAATATCCCTGTCTTCCAGCCATCTCGAATTCTGGCTGATCCCACTCCTTCAGCGATCAGGACTATATCAACGGCATGATATACTACCGTTCCACAAAGATTGGATGTGGTGAAATAACAGCTACGTTTCATCTCAAGTCTCGGGTGAGCTGTTGCCAATCTACGCATCATGTCATCGACGACTCGCGAACAACGCTTATCGCTAAGTGGCCACCGCTAGAGACGCAGTCCTTAAGAGGATAATAGGCCACTGTAATACAATCTGATTATGCTGACTGGGTTTTTTTGTAATGTTGCTATGAGAAGATTCACATCTTTCAAATGAATCGAAGTCATCCTTCCTTCCATCATCGTCAAGCTCTGTCTTCGAGGAGCCGTTGCCCAATTCAAATATGGACCTTCTTCATCAAGTTACATAAGAACCAAAGAATGAGCTCTCAGATGCTTATTAGAAATAATTATAGAGAATCTGTAAAATTTTATTCACTAAGACCAAGGCCTCTTTGATCACACCTTGGTGCAAAGCTTTCACTTGTATGCATATGCCATATCCAACTCCGGTACTAGATCAGTATGTCACTAAAACTGTGACAGACACTTGATCGTATTACTACAGTAGCTTTGCACTTCGAGCACGAACAATGCGAGCTTGCTCGACGGATAGAACTGCAAGGCAATTTTCACATGGTGTACTTGGGACGATCTTGGCCCAAGAACTCCCGATCGGTACATTAATGACCGCTGGGCCTAGCCGCTATCTGATTGCTGCGACTATGAAGGGCGAACCATGGTGTCACGAAGGAATATGATGGAGAGATTCCCACCTGTCTTTCATTGGTCCTCAAGAGAGTCGGTGGCTGTTCGAGTAAGCTTTGATCCTCCAACCCGATCAAGCTAGCCTCCCTCCAACTGAACCCTGCTCCCAGATGCCGCTCCTTCCCATCACCACGCCTCGCACGCGAACTTCATCCCGCCCCAAACTTCCGCAACGCGCCCCCACCAAGACCGAGAAAGAGAAAGAAACACCATGGCGCACACCCCCACAGTATGTCGCGCCCGCTACTCCCCGAGTCCGCCTACGCAGAACTCGGCCTCCCACCCTCGGTACTTGAAGACCTGATGAATCCCAAGCCACCACCATCCACCGAGCACCGCACCGTCCCGCCACCCGATGTAGTCGCGCCAAACTTACTGGAGAGCGACGAAGGTGGCGAGCGCCCCATGCAGCCGAATGAGACGTCGATAACGCTGTATGCGGAGTTGTTACTCCATGTTCGCACCGTTACCCTGTTTGCCTCGCTGAGGACGAATCATTCGCGGGAAACGCAGGCGAGGGCGAGTGCGGATGGGAGTTGTGTTACCGTTTCGCATGAGGGGGAGAGCGCGACGATCAGGCTGCCATTTAATATCAAGGGAGGCGGGGATGCGGCGCTGTCGCTGCCCAGTCAACCGCCAACCAAGGAGTTGACGCTACGGATGCAGTTGGAAGAGACGGATGACACAGATGTACTCGAGGCACTTAATAGCGAAGACAGGCAAGCGAATGTTGTGCCATGGGATGGGGCGAGTCTGAACGAGGTAGGAGATGTGGTGATGTGTTGTAAGAACTGTGGGGAAGTTATGGTGCAGAAGGGGAAAGTGAGGGAGTGGAGGGATCTGCCGAATGAGAATTGGGCCGAGATGATGGACTTTTGGCACTGCCATAAACCTGATGAGAGTCACATGCATGGTAAAGAGGAAGAGGAGGCGGTGGGAAACAAGGGATATGCAGCGGCGAATCGATTGCAGGCTCTGGAGGGAGTTGGTTTCGTGGATCTGACGAGCTTCTTGTTCAAACAAGAGGACTGTGATGGTGCACAGGTAAGCCATCCTTCCATCATCTCCATCAGACGATTTCCGCTCGAGAAACGCGTTTGGGTGCAAAGAAGGCGACCTAGCCTTACCCCAATGGCAGCGTCAGTCGATACAATCGCCCTAGAGAAACATGCAAACACACGATCCGCAATCCTGGACGTATCCTCTTCCTCGTGTCGATGGATCACCGGTGTTGTTGGACAGCGGCCCAGCATTTCACTGTCTGTATTTCCTTAGACTCTTGGGACTGACAGGATAAAGTCTGGGCTACATGCTCTTCGTCGCCACTTGGTACCTTTCATTATATCTGTCATTATACTAACTAGCTGTAGCTCTCTTCAGAGGACAGGTCACATGCCCAATCAATAATTTGCCGCCATTGCGACCATCTCCTCGGTCACCAAGACCTTTCAACCAATGGCTGGCGTCTCCAAAAATGGAACCTAGGCATCCGCTCCCCCACCTTCTTCGCCGCCGGCCTACCGACCTCGTACAGTGCTCAAAAATGGATATCCGCGCGCTTTCTCTCCCTGATTGAAAACACCGGATTCCGGAAATTCCACGTTCATCCCCCGCTTCCTTCATCATCACGGCCACGATCAACCAGCCACACCAGCCCAACTTCTCCTTCCTCTTCTTCCCCACACTCCAACAACAACGATGACAATAGCAACAGCAACAGCAACAGCAACAATAACAATAACCCGTCCGCCACAAACCCCCCACCCTCATCCAAACCCCCCACATCCCTCACCCTCTGGCTCTTCACCCCCGACCTCCTCCTCTCCTCCTCCCTCCCGTCCCCAACCCGCCTCGACCCCACCCGCGCCATGAAAATCTTCTACAAACCCTCGTCCACACCCTACACCCCACTCCAGCCCGGCCAGCCCGAACCCGCAGCCATCGAAGATGTCGAGTTCCCGCCGGATCTGTACGACGAGTTGGAGGCTGCGTTGCGGTTGAGTCAGCGCATTTTGCCGCGTACGGCGCGCATGTGGGGGGGTTGGCAGGTTGGTGTTTTGGAGAGGTTTTGTGCGGGGGAGGTTTTTGGGGGGGTGTGGAAAGGGGGGGAGGGGTTGTTTGCGGGGTTGGAGAGTGAAGATGTGGATTGATGGGTGAGGAAGTTGTTGAAGTGTGAAGATAGATGCGATATACAATGCTGTGTTTTGAGGCTTTTGCTTAGCGTTGCAAACTGGACAAGATGCGAATGAAATTCACGATAGGAATTTTCCCATTAAACAATACTGTATCGAGGAGAATGCAAATGCAGAGCGTTTACATGTACACCTAGAATCAAGTCGTCTAAACACATGTACAATCATCATCCCCTCCTGCCCCTTCCTCATCCCAATCCAAACAACAACTCCAACCCGCCCAACAGACTCACTGCCCCTTCTTCTCGCCCTCCCTCCTCTCCTGCTCGAGAATATACCTCACGCCCCTCCTAATCCCCTCATCTAGCGGCACAACCGGCTCATAGCCCAACCGCTGCCTCGCCTTGCGAATGCTATGATATTTACTCATACTACTGTACTTGACCTGGGCGCGCGTCAAATTCGGCTTCTTGCCCAGGAGCCAAAACGCCCACTCGAGGACTGCACCAATCGTCCACGCCGTATCCGCACTCAAATGCCAGACGGCAGACAAGGGACGACGGTCGCCGGCCTCGTGCCAGACGGCGCGCGCAAAGTCCCAAAAGTACGTGGGCTCGCCATTTGTGATGAAGAAGGGCTCACCGTCGACGCGCTCGGTGTCGAGGGGAACGGTGTTTGATTTTGCGGTGGTGAGGAGGGCGTAGGCGGCGAGGAGGTGGGCGTGGGCTACGTTTTCGACGTAGGTGAAGTCGAAGAGGTTGGTGTTGTCGCCGACTTGGAATTTTGTTTGGCCTTTGCGCACGGCGGAGATCATTTTCGGGAGTAGTTGGACGTCGCCTTCGCCGAAGATGCCGGCGGGGCGGATGGCGCAGGTCAAAAAGGTCGAGGGCGTGCGGTTCGCTTGAAGGACAGCGGTTTCGGCGTAGGCCTGGCGTTCGTTGTGTTAGTGGATTGGACGGAGGGGTGAAAAAAGGGGTGGAGGAGGAGGAAGAGGAGGAGGAGGAGAGTCCGTTGGGGGCAGGGCAGACATGGGCAGGCAGATGGACGGACGGACCTTGGTGCTGGTGTAGTATTCTGGCTGCGCGTCGCCCGTGACCAATGGCCAACGCTCGTCGGCATTGATGAGTTCGTGGGCAGGATCGAGGATGACGCTTGCAGAGCTCGTGTATACAAAGGCCTGTACGCCTGCTTCCTGGGCCGCAGCAAGGAGGTTCTTGGTCCCGCCTACATTGACCTTGTCGTGGATGTCGGGCTTGAGATCAAAGTGGGGCGAAGCCGTGTGGATGACGACTTTGGGCTTGATCTGCGAGAAGATGGCCTTCATCGCATCCAAGTCGGTGATGTCGCCATCGTGGTAGGAGACATTGGGGCTGGCGTTGCGGTTCGAGTTTGTCCGAAGGTCCAGGACGGCAATCTGTGCTCTGGGCTGGCGCTTGACGATGAGGCTGACAATGTGCGAGCCCAGGAAGCCGCAGCCACCGACGACGAGGACCTTTCCGAGCGCGGGTATATCAGTTGGTGCTGACATGATGCAGCGTGTGACAGGTGAGTGCGATTGGTGGTGCGGTTATGCGACTTTGATGTTGGCTGGGAACTCGTTAGGCGGAGAGCTCGGTGGATTGCGTTCCGCGCGTCCAGGGGCATCCGTCCCCGCAAAAAAAAGAAAAGGTCAGGGTCCTCGCAATCAGCCAGGGTTACCACCAGGGTTACATACATTCATGGGCTAAGTACTAGGTACACCAACACCTCACTACTGTATCGACAGAATGCAATGGCACCAACAGGTTCATTGTAACTATTTCTGGCTACAGAAAATGCCCTGTGGCTGTGGAGCACAGCATCTGCTACACCAGTTAGCAAAACCATAAAAACCAGAAATCCAACGCCTGACTACTCCTTAGTCTCGCCATGCCATGCTATGTCCATGTCCATGTCCATGCCTCCTAAAAACGCCAAGTTATGCAAGCCCGAAGCCCCTCGAGGGTTCGGGGTTGGGGTTGGGGTATCATATCTTTCTTCAAGGTTGTATCCGGCCGTGTCTGTTGTAACGCATTCGAATCCTTGATAGACGCCTAGAAACTATTCCTGTGCATGCAAGTCAGTATAGTGGACAAGAGTGACCAAAGCAGACCAATCGAGACTTACTCGGCGCTATCCTGAACAGACCGCCTCAAGCGTCGGTTGTATATCTTCTTCTCTTCTGGGGTGCCCCAGTACAATTTCGCGGCTTCTGGGTTAACAAGTGTGCGGGGATCGTAGGCTGGCGATTCCTCTTCGATTGCAGCAATAATGGCCTCGATGTGTGATCGCATGTCGTCTTTGCGTGCAGCGTCGTAGCACAATATGCCGTCAGGAGATACGCGGTGGTGGAAGATGGGCGTCTCGAACTTGACGCGCGGTAGAACATCTGGAAACCTCGGACTAATGTAGAGCATAATCTTGAAGATGCCACCATCGAGGTTCGTCATCGGTCTACCAAAGAGTATCAATTGCCAGACAAACGGGTTCTTGTCCACGAGGTCCAGGTCTAGCGTGACGGCGTCGTTCTTTTTATAATTCTCCAATATTTGCTCATACTGACGCTGGAGATTGCTGGCAATGCTCATCTCCTTGCGCACAGCAGCCATGCCCTCCATGGCCCAGCCTTCCATTTCCTTGTTCAATCTTTCGAATATGGTCACGAGACGCTTCCGCAGACCCGTGTAGTCATAGGTACCTTCCATGGTGTTTCCAGGGCCCTCAAATGGCATCTTCTCGAATCTATCACCGTCCTTGTGTGTCTTGGCCGCCTCGTCGACACGGGCTAGATAGGACGGGTAATACCATAGGAACCGCCGCTTGCAAAGGTCCTTGAAAGGCTCGAACGGCACATCCTCGCGGCCCGCTTGATAGTCCTCTTCGGCATTGTATACAGTGACACCGGGGCGGGTCTGGTGGATGCCCAAGTACTCCTCTAAGCGCTCGATGACGGAGATGCGCAACGACTCGTGTCGGATCTTCGCGACATATGACTCTTGGTTCTTCTTATCATAGTCTGAGTGTGCGTCCTCGAAGCCTGGTTCATTCTCGTAGGGGTTTGTGGACATCAAGCTCTGGATGGAGATGAGGATCGATTCGAGGCCTTGCGCAGACGACCACTCTTCACCGCGTTCGCCCCGCCATGTTCTATGATTGTGAGCGAGGGTGTACAAAAACAGCAAAGGAAACTTGTCACTTACCCCAATATCGACAAGCACACCTTGCCTCCAGCATAGATGTTGGGATTAAAGCGCGTGCGCCCTCCATTTGTAGTAATGGCGGTGACAGTCGGTGCCTTGGTCGGATATTCGCGTGTGAACTTGACAGCAAATTCGAAGAACCCAAACTCATACGGCGTGTCCGGGGGGCCGATAATCAGCGCCCGCACATGCCTGACGTCGATGTCCCGGCATGCTACTGCAAGGGAGAGGTCGGAACCCTTTTGAATCTCGCCCAGCTCGCGGGTGATTCTGAGGATATATTGGTTCGACATAGGGACGCAGTTGCCACCAGGCTGCGCGAGTCCTACGTCGAGTGGTGGTTGCTGAGGTTTGCTGGGCAACCTACTTTGCTAGTGGGTGGAACGTTCCAAGGTTGGTAGTAGGCGTGAAGAGTGACTGTGAACCCGACAAGGTGGAGGTCCTAGGACGAAGGTGAGGAAGAAGCGGGCAACGCAAGAATAACTTGGATGACTAGGGCGAGTGTAGTCTGGGTCCGGCTGTGGACCGAGTGAGGCGAACTTGCGACCGTTGGGCCGGTGGTAGTCAGAGAAGCAGGATGAAGGCTAGCTGGCGGGTCGAAGCTTGAGCTGCAGGTTGGAGGGGCAGAATACCGTACCGGCAAGGACCCTGAGGCGGTCACTCGAGATCATGGGGGACTGGAGAAGCCCCCAACCATGACCATAGCCACGACCCTATAACACCCAACCATTCACTGGCTTGGACTTATCTGCGCCGATCCCTCGTGTCCTTGAGAGAAGTAATGAAACGCGACAGACAAGCCACCGTTGCATTCTATACACGATACCATCATCACTCAATATCAACCGTCTCCCACAATGTACGCCTCCAACCCTCCGAGATGCCATAGCAAACACCTAAAACTGACTCAACCCCAACAGGGTCGTCTTCGCCCTCTTCATCGTCTCCAAATCTGGGGGTCTAATCTACAACCGCGAATTCCACACGGGCATGGCAAAACTCACTTCGAATGACTACCTCATGCTCGCCGGTTCCTTCCATGGGTACATCCTCCCCTCCTCCCTTTCTGCTCCTCCTCTCTCCACACAGATACACATACTAACCCTCCCACCAGCATGCACGCCATAACCGCCCAACTCTGCCCCGTTCCCCCACCTCGCCCGCCCCCAACCACCACCTCAAGCGGCACCAGCATCCCAACCTTCCCCGTGCGCGCCACGGGCATCGAAGTCCTCGAGTCCTCGCACTTCCGCGTCCAGTGCTTCCAGACGCAAACGGGCGTCAAATTCCTGCTGTTTACGGAACCCCAGCAGCCGAATGTGGATACGATGATGAAGAAGATATATGAGCTGTATGCGGATTTCGTCATGAAGAATCCGTTTTATACGGTCGAGATGCCCGTTCGGTGTGAGAAGTTTGACAGGGGGTTGGATGGGTTTGTCAAGGTTAGGGGGTGAGGGGGCAAGAGAGGGATGGGGGCTATGGATGTGAAAAAGACGATCGTCTTGAGGGCTGAGCACAGCAGGTTCAGAGATCATCGACTCGGAGAGAGTTGAAGAGATGGTCTGGGATACCTTACCAATATATTCTCCCGCGGAGACGCAGCAGCAGCAAGGGCAGCTGGGGAGACGCGGCCTGCAAAGGTTGGTTAGTCACTGGCAGGGATGATGAGAAGATCACAAAGGCATGAAGAGAAGCTGCGTTGCACAGATTGGGGCAAAGGAGCTCAACAACCAGAGCAAAGCAAGATGACACGAACCAAGTGATCGTGCGAGCCGTCATTACAGTTCATTGATCCGTGCCGTTTGTGACATGCGCCATAGCTAGTGGTACAGTAGACGCCAGATATGCTCTATCGTATAGATCGTGGTACCTCCTCACACACACACACTCATGCCGTGTCCATCTTGTCGTCGTCATCCTTTTTCTTGTCTTTGCTTCCGCTGCCGCTCGGCTGACCCTGATCATCCAAAAGAGGTTGCTTCTCGTCACCTTCGGCAACAGGTTCGAGTTCCGACTTACCCTCGGCTGCCTCCTTTGTCTTCTTCTCCTTTTCCTGCCGTGCCTTTTCCTCCTCGAAACTCATACGTAGTGCCAACGCCAGCTCCGGGTCCACCGATGGATCTACGCCAAACTCAAAGTCGTTGCCTCCGCCGCCACCTGAAGCACCAGCCTCGCCTGAGCCGCCGCCGGCGCCAGCATTGGAAGTACCATCACCGCCAAGTATGGGAGTCGTGATGAGGGAGTCGCTGAGCAGGTTCGCGCTGGGAGGAATGGTCGCGAGGTAGGAGCCCTCGGCGCTCTGTACATTATCGCTAAAGGCCTGGAGCTTTCGTGTGGTGTCGTCACTGAGCTCCCCGAATGCAATAATGTCAATGCTAATGCCAGTCTTCTTCATCTTTTTCGCCAGCTTAATGAGGTTCTTCTCATCCTCTTCGATAGGACTACAGTTGAATATGATTATCCGTTGCTTCTGCGACTTGTTCTGCCTGTGTTTGAGTGCAAGCTGCAAGTTGCGAGTTAGCATAATCTTGGCTGTGATTCCAGTTGCACATACAGCTGCGACATTGATGCCCGTTACAAAGTGTGAGCTGCCTTTTATCTTCGTCCTGTGCAGTCCATCGAGGATCTTGCCAATGTCGGTGGTCAGGGTGACGAGGATTTCTGGCGTGTTGCCGCCCATGCTCATCAGGCCAACTGAAGACTCGGGGTTGGCGCCAGTCTTTGCGGAGAAGATCAGGTTGACAGCATCTTGTTGTGCCTCCCATCGAGAGGGTACATAGTCACCGTTGCGACTAGCCTCGCTGTTGTCAACGCTGTTGCAGTTTAGTAGGGTGAAGTTGCGAGCGAGGAAGAGGAGGGAAATGTGTACACTATCATGGAAGCTTCCAACACCATCTTGAGAGGTGTTTGTGGTGGTGTGGGGAGATTGTTTTAGGGTGGTGGTGCTTATGGCGACGATGATGCTGAGCGTACAGTATGTCGCCGCAACGGAGGTCGGAGGTTGGTAGGCAAGCTGGAAGGCTGACGGAGCTCAGACGGCGGAGTCACGTGTGTGTGTGAGTTGCGGGAGGACGTGCTCTAGCGGCAGCTGTTTGAATGCACAGAAATGACTCGCGGGCTCGATTTGGTACTCACGGGCCATGACTCGAGTGTTTACTGTTGTATCATTGTTTACCACTTCAAGTCTGCTGCTGCTGCCTTTATGATGCAATTGTGAGCCAGTTCGAACTTTAGCACTCAATACGATAATAATGACCATGAAAATCATGGATCCTTGATCGCTTGCGCAGGCTTTCTCTTATTATAGCTCATACAGTAGTGCTGAAGGATTGGGGGCTTGGCTGACTGGTTGCGATCAATCTGACGCTCCTGCTCTCTCCTCCTCCGTTCCTTCCACACTCCACTTCCAGAGATCAGAACAAGCAAGCGCAACCCACCAACAATAACACCACAACACTCTGATACTCCCAAGGGCACCCGTAAAACAATCACACAGTCTTCCCACCATCTTCCCGACCTGCTTTGTCCCCGCTCTCCAACACTCCTCTTCTCCCTCCTTACGCGTCTCCCACACATCCAAGACGCGCACCATGAGCAACCACCGACACAATCTCACCGCCGAGGCAAAATCAGCCATGATAGCCAATCTCGAGCTCGAGCTAGATGCTCGCAAAGAGAAGCTCAGAGCCCAATGCGAGGCCCAATGCGCCTCCCTAGAATCGCGTCTCGAGCGCCGCATCAACAGAATCCCCCCAGCCAAACGCCAGGCCATACTATCCGAGATCCTCGCCGGCCCGGCTGCACCACCTCCTCCTCCTCCACAACACACGATTGTGCCGGCCAAGGTGACGAAAAATACTGGCCAGAAGAAGGCGGCGGCTGCAAAGGGTCGCGTCCCGACTGCCACTGCAACCACGGCTGCCAAGCGCGCTGCTGCTGCCACCACAGCCACCAACACGACGCGTGCGACGCGCGCCGCTGCTCGCACCCGCGAGGTGCTTTCACCCAAGACGGATAACGCCAAGCCCAAGACGGCTGCGCGTACAGTGAAGCCTAGATAGCAAGATTGCGTCTTCACTCGTAATGTGTTGCATTTTCAGGGGCGTCGCATACCTACAATACCCAAGGGCGAGGTCGAATTGGCGTTTTGGGCGGGTTTTTTTGCATGGTCTTGTTCTGGTTTTTTGCCTGCACTTGTAGTGTTTCCCACGTGGCCTCTTTCTCCTGCCGCGGCTTGCGCTTTTTCCTTTGGTGGTAGCCGCCTGCAAGGGCTGGCTCCCTTGGGAACTGCAATAGTAGCCAGGTAGGAGGGGAGGTCCTTGGGGTTTTGGATGTTTCTTCTTGTGGCTTGGCAGGTCTTTTGGCTTTTCTTAGATGATGATGAGGAAGCGATGAAATCCATTCTGTCTGTCTGACTTTGACTCTGCCTTTGACTCTGTGTTTTTTTTTCTTGATGAACTGGAGAATGGACTGTAGTCCAGACTATCTCGCAGCCACCACGCCATGCTATCTCACCCGCCTCTTTCCTGTCTAGAGTCCCCACACAATCTTCGGACTCATTCCTGACCCTTGTACATGAGAGACTGCAGACCACTCGCACCCCATCTGACCCCCAACATAGCCAGCACCAAGCATGCCTGAATATACTACAAGTCTTGCTCTCTTTCTCTTTTCCTTGGCATCGAAACCAATGTACTTCACTTCAACTAGACAGGCAGCATCTTTGTTACCACACTAGGTAGTTCATTAGGGATCTATGCACTCGTCTCCACGCCCAATTATATACCCGACTCGTTGTCCCCCATCAAACTCGACAACCGGCTTAGTCTACAACTTCCTTGTTCAATCCCACGCCATGACTGCATCCTCCACAATCGGCCTAAACACCTTCCTGCCCGCCCCACTCTTGTGCGTCCACACCATCTGCCGCTTACCCAGCTCCTTCGCCCTATGCCAAGGCTCCAACACAATCCCCTCTTCATTATTCTCCAACGCCCGCTTGACCGTCTCAAACAGGCCGTCCGCCTGTGTCTGATCGATTCGAACATCATCGCGGACGGTGAGGACGACCTCGCGAATCTTCTCCTTGGAGCCATCGGGGTACCGTTTATTGTACTTGTTGAGGCAGACGGAGATGTCGACTAGTGGGTTTTGCTTGCCATGTACTTTCGCATCTAGGTTAC